GGCAATTTTTAGAAAGTTTTTATGGTCCGCTGGAAAATACAGGCACTGCACAGGAGATATTTATATAAAAGTATCTGACCCTCCTCCTTCGAGAGTATTGCTTCGCAGTTTTGAACTCAAATTATCCTTCTTCAACTGCAAAGGGTCCATAAAGTCAATCGGACGGATTGAGAGGGAGTCTTTCAGACTTTTTGCATGACTCATGGACAGCTGCAGCTCTTGCCTGATGCACGCTGACAGTGGTTGTACCTGCCACTGAACTGGTAATATTAGTAATATCCTAGAGTATTTCCATAAGGACCCAAGAATAGTCTCGTTTACACCAGGACACAACTCCTCTTCCTCCGATGTTTTGTACGAAGATTCATCCGTCGTCTTCTTACTTTAGCATAGATAGAATGTGGGCATAGGACGAAAATGAATCCGCGAAGACTGCATTAATATCAAACAATCACTGTATTTTAACTACAACGTAAACATATATTACAAGCTCAATTCTAAAAGTTTGTGACGGTGGTGCGTTGTTGAAGCAAACAGTTTTCTAGATATTATCCATCGTCCAATAAATAAAATCAATAAAATTCACGACGTTTCGGAGATGGGACTCTATCTCCGTCGTCCGGAGATAAGATATGTGAGTAGACACACACACGCAATAAAGCATCGTAAGTCACTCAGTTACTTTATTTTACCGCTGTAGAGTGCGCACTTACAAGCTGGTTAAAATACAGTGAACAAAGTGCGAGGGTCTATTCGTGACATTTTAACTTCAAAGGCGTCTCCACAGAGACAAAAAACCTTCCTAAGACAGTATAAAGTTGACGCGATAAACTGACGCACTGCCTTTGGAATATGCCGGGCCCATTCGAAAGCAGAAAGGACTTGGTGTCATTTCTTGACCTCCGTCGGAGACTGGTCGTCTCATAACCCACATCTGGTCTCTTAATTTTGGTTCCTATTAATCTAAGCCTTTACGTTCTCTCTCTACCAAGTGGATGTTGTTTTGACTGTATGAAAGACGTACAAATCAAATTCTTCAAATTGCTTAATCCAACTTAACATAAGGTGAGATGCAAGAATAAATTTCTTCAAGAACGAAAAAGTTTCGTTATCTCTGTAGATCCTGACTTCTTTTTTTGCCAAATAAATAAATTCGAAACTTCACGAGGATCGACAGAATTCATTACTCTCACGTTGCAAAACTCGTGAGGTTATTCGTGGACACCCCCCCCCCACCCCGAGGCGCTCACCGCGTAAACTGAAAATCTTTCTTTCGGTGGATAATGGATTACACGAGAAGCTGGAATGCGGGGTGCATCTCCTCATCCTGCCTTCGCTCGATTTCCTTCTAACATGGCGACGCAAAAACAATCTCGCGGGTCAACGATCTGCCTCAGTCGGTTTTCGTTCCCAGGTACCAGAAGATGTTACCCTGAAGTGCCGGCTCGTTACGTGACTAAGACTTAGGTCTAGACACACGCAACTTTCATAACCCAGCTCCCGGCAAAAACTGCATGACACGCTGCCAAGAGCTAAAATATTTTCCCGACACGAGTCAAATATCGCTTCGCTAAAAAAAAACCTTTTTTTAAGAAATACTGAAAATGTTGCCCATGTACGCACACACTCTCTGCTCAGTTTCAGTTGGTCAAAATTCACCTCTTTATCGCCTTGGCTGCTTATGATTTCGAGACGCCGGCGTCTTGGGCAAGGCGACCCAACGATTTTCGTGGTACGCAGTCTCGTTTTTCTTCGGTAAACAGACGGCGCTTTGATTTAACAGATTCATCGTCCAGGATTGGCCCAGTTGACCTGACTTTATTGATAACATATTTGCCAGTTGTGATTCAATCCGTCACACCAGGAAATTTATTAAAAAAAAAATTCTCCGACATCATTTATCCAGCGGAAACACATTTCACGAAAGATTCAAACAGAAAAACACATTGGTTAATATTATTTCGTACCATATCCACACACATTAACCTGCACTCAACGCGGTGTTTGAAACGGCTTCGCTACTGTGTTAACAATTTAAATGGCAGTTTTCACCTACCATGAAACAGTTCCTGAGACGTAAAGAATCAAACTTCGATAAAATTGCCTTGAATCCTCGATGTGCCATTTTAAAATGAGTGTACAACTCTTTCAAATTCTTATTATTTTATTTGTAGTGTTCTGTCTGCCGACAGGTCCATATGAACAGGATCCTTCCATCCTTTTCTCGGGCTGGGACCTGTTCATATACGTTCTTGGCAGATGATCCAGAAGTGGTTTGCCATTGCCTTCTTCTGTGTGTGAATGGGATGCCACGGAGAAACCGTGGAAAACTCCGTGTTGCCTAGACCACGGCCTTGCCCAACACAAGTTATAAATTCGGGCACCTCCGGGAATAGAACCCGAGACCCCAGGATTACAAGGCTAGCGTTCTAACCGCAGACTTTAATTAATATGTAATCTTCTTTACTATACATAAATTTACTCATTTATGTTAAGTTATGCCTTGTTTGTGATTAGGTTAAGACAAAATGCCTTGGTCCATAACAAGTTACTTCGCTCTCCTAATCACACAGTTAGAAGCACTTGGAAAAATTCTTGAACTTCCCAAATACTCTTCGTTTTAAAGAGAATAGTTAATATTGTCACCTTCAAACTTCTTGAAGTCAGTGGACCTTGGAATTTTTCTTGTAACTCTTTTAAAATTTCCGTCGCCTATTATTTTTCCTTTTTGGTGTTTGACTCAATTGCAAATTTTCATTTAAGGACTAATAGCAGTGATCTTGACAGACTACTCAATTTACGACACTTAATGTTCACTGTTTAACCGAGGAAGTTCTTTAGTTCTCCAAGAAAGAATGTTTCTTACGTTCTGACATTAATAAGTCCACTTTCATCAAATGGGTTACATCACAAAGCATTGGTAATACCGGATGCAATATTTTTTTTGTAAAAAAAATTATCATTAAAGAAAATTTACAAGACGAATTAAATATATCTTGTACAGATGTAGAAAATAATATTTAGAACATGCTAATGTCTCAGAAGCCCAAAGAACACCGAAGTGTGGAGCTTTAAGGTTATGCAGCCCTCGTCACACAAAACCTGCTCAGTCCTGCCAATACCACAGATGCTTGTTACGGACCAAGTTCATATAACTTTGTTCATTACATTTCTGAGCTACAGAAAGTCGCAGTCAACCAGTCAGCAAGATTGCTTTGTTTTTCGGGGGAGGATCTGCTTCAAATAGCGGCCCAGACCTTTCCCAGACATTAATCATCAAACATCTGACAGTATAGACGTCTCATAACACTGTTCAGAACACCGTTCGAACCCGGATCCTTGCGAACCTCGAGTCGCCTGATGGCCTGTAGGACCTCAGACAGGGCTTCAGCTTTCTCGTAGAAGGTGGAACCTTGGCCGCACCTATAGGGACGGTTGTCAGGATCGGGTGAGAGCAGGGGAGCCAATGGCAGAA